TTTTTGGAGTTCTGAGAGATTTTTGCGGAACTGGTGATCGAAGTGATGCGCGGCAAGGACGTCGAGCAGCGCGTCAAGTTGGTAGGGGAGGTACGTAACACGATGCTGGAGATGGTCCGGCTCATTGAATTCGCCTGAGATGTATGTAATTATTGACTTCAGATAATCTCTCACCTTGGGACATGCGTCGGCTAATTTAGATTTATCTGCATTTTCTATTGCTGTCTTAAGCTTGCTGAGTAAATTATTCGGATCTAAAGTGCCTGGCACATCCGGGGGATCACCACCGTATATTGCTTTCATGAAACCCTTGTGACCATTTTTTGAATCAGCACTAATCATACCAGGTAACCCGCCTAATTCGTCATTTACTTTGTCAACAAAAGCTATGAGCAGGCCTTTTATAGAAGTTATGTACTGCTTTTGAACGTTCGCTGTGATTTTATTAACGGCCAGTTGGATTTCATTGTTGACTTGTTGGGTAAGGGTTCGAATTGTGTTTTGGGCCCTTCTTTCGGCGTGCTGTGCGAGAAAATGTTTCAGCATTTTAATGGGACCGTTCTGCAAATCCTTCTGCAGATCACTTATCTTTTCGTAATTCCGGCAAGTTGATTACTTTCCGTTCCCTTTAGATGCTTATTTTGAAGCTTAATCAGTTGCACGTTCACAGAGTTTGCCACGCCCGAAATTTCCGTGAGTAAGGAATTAAGGTGTTCTTTGATGTCTTTGGACAGAGTCTCGAGGGGCGTAGTATGGCTGGCGTTCAGGTCCTTGGATTTGTCGGTGACTGATTTTATCGCCTTGTCCAGGTTGTCAGAATACTTGTCGCTGGCGAGTGCGCCAGTCGCCTTCTGAAGCTGACTGTGAAGGCTCTCAGCCTTCTTATGAGCCTCTTCTATTTTTCTTGCGATGCCATTATCGGATGCCACCGGCCTGCGCTCGAGGAGGAGCGAGTGGAGTTCGGCAGCCGCCCCTCTGGCCGCACCGGGGAGTTGGTGTAGCATATAACGGACGGCCCAGTCGAGATATCCTTTGGCAGTTTGATCCGAATATTGATCTCCCAACTGTGTAGCCATCGCTGTGCCTACTGGTTGAATAAGCTTGTCGATTCCCTCTGGCGCAAGTTTCTTATCAAGCTCATCGGCGAACGCCGCGCAGGCAGTATGGACATTTTCAACATATGCATCAATTTTCTTTGCGTTATCCTCTTCTTCACCAACCATAGCTTGAATTCCCGCAATAACGCCGCCATCAAGTTTGCTGATAATTACACTCGCAATTTTTTTAGTAAGCTGTGTCATGATTTCATTTTCGCCTTCACCGCTATAAGGATCTTTAAAATTGGCACCAATAGCCTGTCCACACCAACCAATCCAGTGTCTAACTGTAACATTACTCTCCAATATGTCTTCCACCCACTTAGGCAACACATTCTCCTGAAATTTCTTAAATCCCTCCGCATAGTCCTGAACAGCGTCTTTAATGCCCTCAAAACCCAGATAAAGTGAACTCCCCGGCTTCCCCTTAATTTGCGCAACCTGAGCGTGAATATGCTCGAAAACGTCATGAATACTTTTGTTTGGTTCCTGTGGTACTCCACCGCGGGCGTCCTTAGGAAACTGTTGGCAGAGCTCCTTAACCTTCAAATTAACATCTTCAGCCTTCTCCGTCACCTCTCTAATATACTCATCAAACATATTCTTCAAGCCCTTCAACTGCTCCGCTTTTGCTGCAATCGCATCCTGTTGCTGCTTGCCGACATTCTTGTTGACAATCTCATTCGCCGTTGCTTCCGCCGCGTCGATGTCCTTACCGGCCTGCTGTGCCCACTCATTCAACGCGATGACATACTGTGCCAACTTATCATTGATGTCGTCGAGTTTTTTAAATATTTCAGTAACTGCATCTTTCAGAGCCTTTACAAGCTCATTAACTTTTGCTTCGATTTTTTCACGTGCGCCTGCTTTCAGCGCGTTAATCGCTTCACTAAGCTTAGCCTTCGTCTCTGTCAACTCTTCTTTTTCCTTGTCCGACAAGGCCCTCAGCCTGTCGATCTCATGCTTAACGCTTCGTATAGCGTTCGTGACTCTATGTGCTAATGTAGGATCTAAGTCATTAATTGCATTTTTAGTTGCTTCTATAGTGATATTTAGTGTGTCATTAAACGTTCTAGCAAAACCCTTGCATTCTCCCAACTTCTGCTTAATCGATACTTCAGCTTGTCCAATTAGCTTGGCGTCACCTGCAACAGCATCATTGCTTAATATTCCACTTACCTCACTCTTAAAGTCTTCATTCACCTGCGAAAGTATGAGAGTAATTGGCCCACTCACCTTTTTGTTGGACTCCCTCACACCCTCATTATACCCCTTCACCCCCTGGACCACTGCGCTAATCGCTTCATTAAAACCATCTTTGCCGGAGTGTTTATTGGCGTTAAGAGACGTAATTGCACTTTGAATTTCATTACTATGTAATCCTAATTTAGGCTTAATGCTATGTAAAACACCATGAAGGAAAGACATCACCCCGTCGCACAGCCTGTCAAGGTCCGAGTACACGATGCCGGAGCCGGTGTAATTCCCTTTCTCGTAGCCGAGAAATTTTTCGAGGCCAGAGCAGAGGTTATTTAATAATGTTGATGAAGGATAATTTTAGGCACATTTTTAGGGCGATTTGGGGGAGTTTGGGGAAAGGCGATTTTAGGTCAAGGAGGCAGTGACGGGGTGAGGGAGGTGGGTGGACAGGGTGAGGGAGGTGAAGGGGCGAGAGAGGGCGATGAAGGAGGAAGATGGGTGAAGGTAAGGCGATTAAGGAGGTGGAGGGGGAAGGTGGAAAATGAGGATTTGGGTGAAGGACGCCGACGGAGGAGGTGATGAAGGGGGTGAGGCAGGGAGCGACAGCGACCAGTGAAGGAGGAGGTGAGTGGGTGGGTGAGTGAATGGGTGTGAGTGGTTGAGTGGTTGAGTGGGTGGGTGAGTGGTTGAGTGGGTGAGTGGGTGAGTGAGTGAGTATGTGGTTGAGTGGGTGGTTGAGTGAGTGGTTGGGTGAGTGGGTGAGTGGTTGAGTGGGTGAGTGAGTATGTGAGTGGGTGGGTGGGTGAGTGGTTGAGTGGGTGGGTGGTTGAGTGGTTGAGTGAGTGGTGAGTGGTTGAGTGGTTGAGTGGGTGAGTATGTGAGTGGGTGGGTGGGTGAGTGGTTGAGTGGGTGGGTGGTTGAGTGTGTGAGTGTGTGAGTGGGTGAGTGTGTGAGTGGGTGGGTGAGTGAGTGAGTGGTTGGGTGAGTGGTTGAGTGAGTGAGTGGGTGAGTGGGTGATTGGTTGAGTGAGTGAGTGGGTGAAGGCACGATTATGGTGAGAAGTACTTGACGTTGGCGAGTGCCTTGACGCGTGCGGCGGCGAGGAGGGACTGCGCGGCGATGCGGTGGCTTGAGGGCGAGCGCAGGTGGGAGCGTATCCTCAGGACGTCTAGCCGGACGACTACGATGTGCAGCAGGTACAGGAGCGAGAGCGACCAGAGGGCTAATAAGGTAATCATAAATTGTTTTCTTATTGCTAGAAGGAAATTATCTATAATTTCGAATAGGTCTGCTAGCTTGCTTCCTTTTCCGACCACTGCGGTTAATTGGTCAACAAAATCTTTACATGATCTTCTAACGTAACATTTCTTATCGATGCGTCCGTTAAGGTAATCTCTGTTTCCATAGGTGAGGCCGCACGTGTATAATGCTGGAAACGTCATACGGCAATTGAGCATGGAATTGCAGAGCGGAGTATGCATTTGATCTGCTTTACCTCCGATTTGCGTGTTGAATGCGATGCAGTAATTTTTGTCACATCCTCCAATGCGGCACTTTGAATGCTTCGATGCACAATTGCGTTCGCATTCCTTTAACAACATGTAGAGGAGATTATAAAACGTCTCTGTGAGATACACAATCGAGGAGAGATATAGGCGAGCATTTTTGGATGCGAAGATACTGCAAATGTCCGCTGTTAACGGTCTTATATACGCTCCACATTTTGTATCGCTGGTATGGCAATTTGCGTCTGTGCTGACGACAGTTGATAGATCGCCGGATTGGTGACTGGACGAGTGTTTCGAAGATTCAAACAATTTATAGCAGTTGTCCATGTCATTATATTCGACGCCGAAGTGCGCCTTTGTGACGGCATTATGTAGCGCCGTTTTCCTGTGGGCATCGGATTTACTCCAATTATTGAATAAACCATAGAAAAAGGCGAACATGCCACCTAGCGTTACCGGCGGACTAGGCATCAGACAATTGAATCGCGCACATAGCTTGGTGAGGGGAGAGTCTAGATTGCCACAAAATGTATGCAGCACGTTTTTAATATGCTCACCAGTCTGTCTGTGGGACGCTGTAACAGCGATTTCCGGATAACCCATAGGCGTTTGACATGGCATACCGGATGACGTCTTAGTGCACGTGAGACATGTAATACCTTTGCCGGATGTTAGAACGTGAGGCAGGAAGCCCTGTAAACCGTCCTCCAAAAACGACTGGAGTGAAGATTTTAGTCCGCACTTAGGGTGTTGCTTACATGGTTGGTCACCCAGTTGGTCAGCTGTTTGGGTACCACCTTGGTTAGCACATTGGTCATCATTTTGGTTAGGACATTGCAGAGTATTGCACTGCCACGCTGATCCGCCAACACCCTGACCATACCAACAGTCCGACCAGCCACTCATAGTGGTATCGAACGTACATTGTTGATACAAGAAGTGAAGCTGTTGGTAAATGCGTTTGGCAATACCGAGTAAGAGGCAAAGCAATGTGTCCATATTACTGGGATACGACAAATTCTCTACGTTTGTATAAAAGTCGCAGGCGTAGATGCCATCTGCATGGCCGTGGCCTTGGATTGCAACAAGAACGTCATGGGATTTGTGGCACACACGGTTAAGTGCATCAATTATGTTCTGAGCAGAAAAGCCCGATGGATACGCATTGAGAATGTAATCGGATGGTTTCGGGACATCTACATTCTCGGGTTTTGAGAACAGCTTTAATATGTGATCTGTAAGATTTTTGTGAACACGGTTATGTGGGAGACCACTAAACCATGTGAGCATCTGATGGATGTTACAAGGCATCTTAGGTGACTGTATGTTTCTAATGTGACAAGTCTGATTGTAGTATTGTAGGTGAGTGTGAAGCTCAGAGATAACGTCAGTGAGAGGGCGCCTGTTGGATGTTAAAACATTGGACAACTCGAACTGCGCAAGTTTGGTGGCAATAGAGCTACCAGTGCGATCAGCATGATCCCACAATTCTCCAGTCTGCTTGCTCGGCTCGGAATTCACCTTGTAACCGTTATCGGTAAAGAATTTACCAAGGTTGTTGGTGTTAATGATTTGTTCTCTTTTCCAACCCATATTGCCATATTTGTTCAACTTCATCAACATCTTGTGAATCATGGGAAATGCAGTCAATAAAACCTTCGAACACTTCTCACCGTATCCACTTAACTTTTTTATAGTCCTGTTTCCCGTGTTGCTAATTAAGAATTCAGCGTCCTCCAACTCATGTTCAAACGTCTGACTGTCGTATGTAGAGATATAAACTTTCCTTAACTCACCCGTAAATTTGCCCAGTCCTGCAGTGACACCGTCCAATGTGGGACTATTCGGCAGGGAGAAATCTTTTGGTCTCAGCTGAGACAATGCTGATTCCAGATCGTCAAGCATTTCGGGGACCTTATGGTCGTATCTATGTTGAGTGTTGAGGTGAGTGAGTAAATTGTTGAATGCTTCGAAAATGCTCTGAAACATTGAAGCATAGGGATCCTCTAACTTGGGAACTGAAGGATTCTTTTTCCTGTTTTCCTCCTCGTTGACCCGAGTGATATCCCCGTCGACATAATCCTTTATCAGCCCAAAATAGTACTGGAATACGTTACATAATTGTTGGAATGCTTCCTTTTTACCAAGACTTGACATGTTAGTTGCCAAATCTTGAAGCCTCTTAATATTTTCATCCGTGGTATTACTGCCGACAAATACACCTTGCATAGTCCTCATGAGGCCCTTGTGGCCAATTCTTAAATCGCGATTTATAGCTTCGGGGAGCCCGTCAAGTTCAGTGCTTATTTTGTCGGCAAATTGGTTGAGAATTAACTGGATGGACGTCACGTAGCGTTTGTTGACAACATTCAAAATTGAAGCTTTTGCTTTTTTGACATGATCGGACAGATACTTGTCAATGTCTTTATAGGTGTTGTCGATGGCTCTTGGCAGAGCGGTGATTAATGCGGAGGTCTGCTTCATGGCCTCTTTTAATTCACTGGTTCGAAGGGTGTGTATGTTGGTTTTCGCATTCTTAATTGCTTCAAATGTGCCATTCAGTGTTTCCAACTCCACCTTATTTTTACTCCCGACACTTATGAATTTCTGTAGGACCATCATAAGGTTCTCGGTGACCTGTTTGGACTGCGTTTCGAATAAAGCGCCATCAATACTACCTTCGTCAACAGGCTTCTCAGTTTCTTGCAACTGCGCCGAAATATCATTTATAGCCTGTTTGTCAATATCTTTTTTATTCTCAAAATTTTGAGTGAGTATCTTTTTGGTCGGATCGACACCGACGTGCCCATTATTACGCTCATCGTATGCATCTTGAATCTGTTTCTTGGTGTCAGACGAGAGAGCCTCAATCAGGGAGTCAGGGGTTGGAATAGGGTTTTTCCCCTTCCACTTACTCTTCGCATGCCGAAAAGCGGTCATAGCATTTTCTAGATCTTTCGTGAGATCTGTTCGGTTCTGCGCAACGCTATACAGCACCTGGTATAGCTGACTCTTATTATCCAACTTAAGATATAGTGCGGATACGCCCTGACCACTATACGTACTACTAATACGTTCAGAAGCGTGATCGATCGCTGCAGCCAATTTAGATATATAATCTCCCACTTTTGACTTGATTGCATCTCTCAACTCCTCCAAATCCAACACGACATCGTTCTTTAAACCGTCAATCCTGCTTGTAGCCGTAGCAATCGCCTCGGTAACTAGGGCATTAGCATTTTCGTACGCGGTCCACAGCGTCTGACCATCTTTCAGCAATTTTGTGGCGGCGGCCTTAATCGCTTCGTCTTCAGTTTTAACAAAATCTTTTTCGGTCATCTTTTTCGCCATTTTAATTGCATATACGACATATGCCTCCGCATCTTTGATCCACTGATCAAGATCTTTCACATACCCCTTAAGCTTCGCATTAACATCCACTAGCAACTCATTTATGGACTTAACCTTTTCGAGCAAAAATTCTCTTAACTTCTCCATACGTTTCTTCGTCTTTTGCTTCACATCCTCATTTAAATTGTCTAACTGCTCAGTCACCTGATTTTTCACTGCCTCCCTGTCGGCTTTCGCCTTCATTGAGAGTTGGGTCAACAGGTCAATCTCATGTCTAATTGTTTTACGCGCTTTATTGACTTTATCACGTAATTCATAGTTAAGATCATTAATTGCTGTTTCGATGTCATTATTATTTGTGATTGCAATATCTAATGGTCTAAAATGTTTCTCCGCGTTCCCAAGGCACTCCTTCACCAGTCCGTCGGCCGAAGTCACATGAAGGTCTTCAACCTTGGGATATCCAGAAATGTTCTCCGCCTGCAAAGAATTAAACCTTTTAAACCACTCACCTGTTGTTAAGAAGTCTTGAAGCTTCTTGATTGGAGCAGAGACTTTTTCATTCCCCTCCCTAACACTCACATTATACTTGTTCACCCCCTCCGCCACCTTGACAATCGCAGTATTAAAACCCTCTTTGCCAGAGTGTTTATGAAGCTTAAGAGACTCAATTGCTGTTGTAATGTGATGACTATGTAAGCCCAATTTAGGCTGGATGTTATCTAAAACACCATGAAGGAAAGACATCACCCCGTCGCAGAGCCTGTCAAGGTCCGAGTACACGATTCCCTCTCCGGTGTAATTACCATTCTTGAAGCCGAGAAATTTTTCGAGGCCTCCACAAAGACTCTCTAAAAGCTTTTTAGGATTTTCATTATTTTTTTGAATTTTTTTAGCAAAATCACAAAGCTCTTTCAGTGTCTCAAGAGACCTCTTGGAAGCCTGATGAGACTGAAGATCCTTATTAAGTTTGTCAATTTCAGAGGCATTTTTAGAAGCTTTCCCCTCATTTTTAAGGGCTTTATCTTGTTCTTCAAAGACTTTTTTCTGCTCTTCAAGCTCCTGAATTTTTTGAGGAATTGACGTTTTAAGCTCATTTAAGGGATCCTCAGACGGATTTAACTTGCACTGAGAAAGGATGTTAACAAGATTTTCAGAGGTTTTTTGTTCCTCTTTAAGGTGATTTTTAAGCATCTCGTTGGCTTTATTAAGGTTATTTTTTTCAGCATTGTAATTACAACACTTCCCATCTCCGCAAGATGTTTTTAAAAGCTTTTCAAGCTGATTTACATTACTTTGCAAACCATTTACAAGTGCATCTTTAACTTCTCCACTCCCACCAATAAATCCCGAAAGCTGTCCAGCAAGCTGACCAAGAGAGATACGTCTCTCATCAATATCCTCCAAGGCTCCTTTTCTAGCATCCTCTGTAAGATAATGAACTTCATTGTAATGGTTATTGTAGTTGGATTAAAGGTGGATTAAGGGAGAGTTAAAGGAGTAAAGGGGGATGAAATGGCACATTTTGGGGGCGATTTGGGGGAATTTTGAGAAAGGCGATTTTAGGTCAAGGAGGCAGCGAGGGAGGTGGAGACAAGGCGAGGGAAGAGGAGGGGCAAAAGAGGGCGGTGAAGGAGGAAGATGGGTTGAGGTAAGGCGATTTAGGAAATGGAGGGAGGAGGTGGAAAATGAGGTTTCGGGTGAAGGACGCCGACGGAGGAGGTAAGGGAGGGGGTGATGGAGGAGGGAGCGAAGCGACCAGTGAAGGAGAGGTGAGTGAGTGGGTGAGTGAGTGATTAGGTGGGTGAGTGGGTGAGTGGGTGAGTAGTTGAGTGGGTGAGTGGTTGAGTGAGTGGGTGTGTGAGTGAGTGAGTGAGTTGGTGAGTGGTTGAGTGAGTGGTTAAGTGAGTGGTTGAGTGGTTGAGTGAGTGGGTGGGTGAGTGAGTGGGTGGTTGAGTGGGTGGGTGAGTGGGTGGGTGAGTAAGTGAGTGGGTGATTAGGTGAGTGGGTGAGTGGTTGAGTGGCTGAGTGGGTGGGTGATTAGGTGAGTGGGTGGTTGAGTGGTTGAGTGGTTGAGTGGGTGGGTGGTTGAGTGGGTGGTTGAGTGGTTGGGTGGTTGAGTGGGTGGGTGGATGGTTGAGTGGGTGGGTGAGTGGGTGGTTGAGTGGGTGGTTGAGTGAGTGGTTGAGTGGGTGAGTGGGTGGTTGAGTGGGTGAGTGAGTGGGTGGGTGGGTGAGTTGGTGAGTGGTTGAGTGGGTGAGTGATTAGGTGAGTGGGTGAGTGAGTGGGTGGGTGAGTGGGTGGGTGAGTGGGTGGGTGAGTGGTTGAGTGGTTGAGTGGGTGGTTGGGTGGTTGAGTGGTTGAGTGGGTGTTTGAGTATGTGAGTGAGTGAGTGGTTGAGTGGGTGGTTGAGTGGTTGAGTGGGTGATACACAGATCACACGTGAAGGCACGATTATGGTGAGAAGTACTTGACGTTGGCGAGCGCCTTGACGCGTGCGGCGGCGAGCAGCGACTGAGCTGCGACGCGGTGGCTTGCGGGTGAGCGCAGGTGGGAGCGTATCCTCAGGACGTCCAGGCGGACGACGGCGATGTGCAGCAGGTAGAGGAGCGACAGCGACCAGAGGGCTAGCAATGTCCAGATGAACTTAGAACGTATTTCAAATAAGTATTTCGGAATTGTTTTGTGTACTAAATTATAGAGTACGCTGCCTTCTTTTACAATTTTTTCCAATATTGTGCACAAATCGTGGCACGTACGTTTGAGTGCTGGGTCATCCTTACCGCCCAGTTTGGGTGGGCTGTTAATTGTGAAGCCATACTTGCATAAAGTGGGATGCGTAGTTTTGCAGTTGACAAGGGATTTGCAGGGGTCACTGTGACTGGATGTACTTGGCTGCTTGGCAACAGTGCAGGTTGGCGGACAGTTTGCGATACGGCATCTAGGCCTGTCACCGCCGCAACTACCGTTGCACTCATCGAACAATTTCTTAAGCAAGTCGTAAAATGTTTCTGTCATGTAAACGATCCACGACAGGTATTTGTCACCGTGTTTTGCAGAGAATGTGGCACTGATATCGTTACTTAGAGAACTCAAATATAGACCACATTTACCTGGCGACTGTGTGCTGCATACAAGGCTGAGGAGATCACCATCTGTGTGGCCCGCCGTTTTTGCTGAGTGGCTACCTTTGAATATGGAATAGACATCAAGGTCTCCATAAGGACGTTCGAAGTGAGCCTTTTGAACGGCTAAATCAAAGGCGTCTTTTTTGTGTTGTCTGCCCTTATCTCCCCAAGTTGTGATAAAACTATAGTAGAACGCAAACATGTCTCCTAGTGTTTTAGGAGCGGTAGGCAAAAGACAATTTAGCTGGCTACACAGTTTGGTAAGCGGTGCGCCTGCTCTACCGCAAAACAGTGATAATACATCTTTCAAACGCTTAGCCGTGCTCTTCCTCGATGCCACATGGCTAATGTCTGTGAAGCCCATTGGGGTTTTGCACGCAATACCCCTGTGATTAGCAAGGGAGCAGGTCATTTTGCAATCAGACTTATTATATGGATGCGGCAAAAAGCCCTGGAGACCATCTTCCAAGAACGATTGGAGTGGCGATTTCAAACCGCACTTGGGGTGTTGGTTGCACTTTTGGTCACCCTGTTGGGGACACTTTTGGTGAGCCATTTGGTTGGGACACTGTTTTGCATTGCAGTGCCAGTCGGATCCCCAACTGCTCTGCCGTATACACAGTCGAGCCAACCGCCGAGATCCATAGGATAGGTACACTGCTTATGTAGAAAATGAAGTTGGTGGAATACTCTACTTAATATCTCTACTAGTAAATCTAAACATTTGCCGGGGTTAGAGGGATACACTAATTTTGCTGAGTTGGTATAAAAGTCGCAGGCGTAAATTCCGCCCGAGTGACCGTGGCCTTGAATGGAAGTGAGAACTGAGTGAGACTGTGAGCATACCATTCCCAATTCCTTGATTATTGTTTCGGCTGACAACGGAACTGTGGCATCTAGTTTAAGTTCGTTTGGCTGGAATGCGGAATAATCTTCATGCTCCCGCTCTTTAGGCCTGTCGAACAATGTCTTAACGTGATGCGGGAGTTTGGTGAAAATGTGATTGTGTGGAAGACCGGAGAGCCATTGGAGCATATCGTTTATGGATGATGGATGCTTAGTGGAGAATGAAGTTGCGTAGTGGTTAACACTGAAATATTGATGGAGATGTCCGACGAAATCTTTGAGGACACTGTACTTTTGTGCAGTCGTCTTGACATCCGGCTTCTCTTGCTTACCGGTAACGGGATCCTTGTCGTCCTCGTCGCTGACAAGCTTATAATGTTTCTGGGTTTGGTCAGTATGTTGGACGGTTAGTTTTTCATAAATATTCTGACCCGTGAAACCTTTTTTGTGCTGAAGCTCACCGTTCTGGTCATCGGGGTCAGAAACAACAAATCCTTCCCCGTCGAAGAATCTTCCGAGACGCGTAGTTTTGTTAATGGTATCTTTATTGAAACCATTTCTGACACCATTCTTACATCTTTGCCTCAGGTCACTCAACTTCGTGTATAGAGTAGAGAGCAGCGTCGCACATACTTTTGCACATTTCTCCCCCTCATCGGTAAACTTGTATTTCGGTGAAGCAACATCAGACGACTTGGATGTTTCAGTGACCTCTGTCACCCAGCCATCTGTAGGCTTCTCACCGTCATACGCGCTAACGTAAGCCTTATTAAGCTCGGTGCCCAGCCTGTTAAGACCGGCATTAAGCGCGTCCAGCAGAGGACTGCACGGACCGGAGAAATTTTTAGGTGCGAAGTTATGCAATACATTATTGAAATTATCTATGTTCGTATTGAAAGTGCGGTCGAAGTGTTCTGACCTGATAAGGTCAGTAAGCAGACGGTGCAATGCTTGACGTGAAGGCTCGAAGAATACATTGACGTTTTTCTTGAAATCTGCTTGATCACACAATGCAACCACGAAATCATTAAAGCGGAGACGCAAGATGTCTGCAAAGTCTTTCAATGTTTTTCGCTGTTCAGGGGGAACGATTCGCGTTGGGAAAAAGTCTCTTATTTGCAGAATGAAATACCTTCCAAGCTTATCGACAAAACCCTTGTGTCCTTGTTCCAGATCGTCGCGGAGCTCTTGTGGCAAAGGCTGCAACTCACTCTGAACTTTCTCGGCGAACTTTGTTAACAAGTCTTTTATTGCGTCGACGTACTGCTTGCGCGCGTGGCAGATTATCTCGGTTTTGGCCTTTTGGACGTCCTTGTCGACTTGATCCTTGAGCTCCTTGGTGAAGTATGTTTCGGCCTCGGAGCAGAATGTGATGAACGCTTCGGCATCCTTAATTGGCTTACTTACCAGATCCATGTGGAGGACACCGAATTGTTTTTGAATCTTCTTAATGCTCTTCTCACCATTCTTTTTCTCCTCCTCATAAACCTCAAAATATCTCTTCTTCAAATCGTTGAGCCGTCCTCTAAGGGTGTCATCCACTTCACCCTTGTCGTCTCCAGCATCTTTTTTAATCACCTCACAGAGCTTTCTTATATTATCTTTAACATTTCGCAAATCTGCTAAGGCGCCATCTTTTACGCCTTCTATACTCCCCAGCGCGCCGGTTACGTCAGTTTGTATTTTGGTGATGGCGTCGTCGAGGGCCTGTCTTGAACCTGTATTTCCGTTGCCTTTGCCATTGGCAAAGGAAACTGTAAGGTTGTCAAGTCTTACACGTTGTTGCCCATTCACGTCTGGCAGCTGATTATTAAGCTCCTTCGTGAGATCGGTTTCGAGGGCATTGGTGAGTTTGGAAGTATCTGCAGGTACGGCAGTTTTCAAATTATACGTTATTTTCAACCAATCTAAGAAGTTTTCAAGTGCATAGCCTGCAGCATCTCTTGTATCACTTAAATCTTTAACTAAAGTTCCTAATTCGCCCTCTTTTAACTTAAGCTTAAGTTCCGTAATTCCAGGGAATTTTGTATTATCAGTGTCTGACCAGTTAGTATTAGCCTCTTTCGCCGCATCCATCACATTGCTGACAGTGTTCCGAACGTACTCCCCAATCTTCTCATTAATCTGCCCTCTCACCGTATGCAAATCATACTTAACCGCAGTCTCCAGACTTTTTACAGCCGCAAGCGCTATTTTAACTTCCGCTTTCACTTTCTCCGTCGCCGCTTGCCCAGCATTATAAAGCCCCTCGACATCCCTCTCTAGCTGTTCGGCTCTCGAAGTTATCTGCATGGGATACGTTGTACTGGTATTATTAATATGCCCCAAGAGTCTGTTAACTTCTCCGTGCGCCTCGTCGACAACTTTCTCAGCCTTGATAATCCATTCCTGCAAAGCGTTATAGTACTCCCTGAACCTTTTGTCAATTCCCCTGAGCTCATCAAGAATCTTCTGCACTCTCTCCCTCAACTTGCTAATCAGCTCCCTAATCTGAGCGTCAATTTTACAATCGACGCTAATTTTCATGGATTTTAAAGTCGCCGTGATCTTTTCCTCCGTATCACTAAACTCCGCAGCTTTTGCCGCCTTCACCGTCTCAAGCCGCTTCGCTTCGTACTCTACAGTGCTACGCACATGGCTAAGTGTGACACGCAGACTATCATTCAAGTCGTTAAATGAGTCATTAAGTTTGTTTTTAGTGTTACTAGTGTCTAAACTATCTGTGAATTTTTTTGCTTGCTCTTGACATTCTTGAAGTTTCTTGTCCACTTCGTCCTTGGCCAACTGGTATCCCGTGTCCCTGCGATTATGCGCAGTCTGCAAATTATTAAGAAAAACACGTAACTTACTATCACTTTGTGTATATTTATGTAGATCAGTGATAACTTTTTTCACAGCATCATTCGACGCTGCCACTCTCTCATTATATGTACGTACACCACCGGCCACCGCGGCTATCGCCGCCCTGTATTTAGTAATACCATTAAGATTTGTGTCTTTAAGTGAGTTAAGTGCGCTATTTAACGTCTCTTTATGCTGGCCTAAATGACCATGAATGTTATGTAAAACACCATGAAGGAAAGACATCACCCCGTCACACAGCCTGTCAAGGTCCGAGTACACGATGCCGGAGCCGGTGTAATTACCATCCTGGTAGCCGAGAAATTTTTCGAGGCCTGTGCAGAGGTTATTTAATAATGTTGTTGAAGGATTATTTTAGACACATTTTCAGGGTGATTTGGGGGAGTTTGGAAAAAGGCGATTTTAGGTCAAGGAGGCAGAGAGGGAGTGAGGGAGGTGGGTGGACAAGGCGGGGGAAGTGAAGGGGCGAAAGAGGGCGATGAGGGAGGAAGATGGGTGGAGGTAAGGCGATTTTAGGGGTGGAGGGAGAAAGTGGAAAATGAGGATTTGGGTGAGGGACGCCGACGGAGGAGGTGATGGAAGGGGTGAAGCAGAGGGAGCGAAGCGACCAGTGAAAGAGGGAGGTGGTTGAGTGAGTGAGTATGTGGGTGAGTGAGTGAGTGAGTGGTTGAGTGGGTGGTTGAGTGAGTGGGTGAGTATGTGAGTGGGTGAGTATGTGGGTGAGTGAGTGGGTGAGTGGGTGGTTGAGTGGGTGGGTGGTACACAGATCACACGTGAAGGCACGATTATGGTGAGAAGTACTTGACGTTGGCGAGTGCCCTGACGCGTGCGGCGGCGAGTAGTGACTGCGCGGCGATGCGGTGGCTTGAGGGTGATCTCAGGTGGGAGCGTATCCTCAGGACGTCGAGGCGGACGACGGCGATGTGCAGCAGGTACAGGAGCGACAGCGACCAGAGGGCTAATAAGAGGAAAGTGAAGAAGTTGAGAAATGTTGAAGGATTATTTAGGCACATTTTTAGGGCGATTTGGGAGAATTTGGGGAAAGGCGATTTTAGGTCAAGGAGGCAGCGAGGGAGTGAGGGAGGTGGGTGGACAGGGTGAGGGAAGCGAAGGGGCGAAAGAGGGCGATGAGGGAGGAAGATGGGTTGAGGCAAGGCGGTTTAGTAGGTGGAGGGGAAAGGCGGAAAATGAGGATTTGGGTGAAGGACGCCGACGGAGGAGGTGATGGAGGGGGTGAGGGAGGAGGGAGCGAAGCGACCGGTGGAAGAGGAGGTGGGTGAGTGGTTGAGTGAGTGGGTGGTTGAGTGGTTGAGTGGGTGGGTGGGTGAGTGAGTTGGTGAGTGGTTGAGTGGTTGAGTGGGTGGGTGGGTGGTTGAGTAGGTGGTTGAGTGAGTATGTGAGTGGGTGGGTGGTTGAGTGGGTGAGTGGGTGAGTGAGTGGGTGAGTGGGTGGGTGGGTGAGTGGGTGGTTGAGTGGTTGAGTGAGTGGTTGAGTGGGTGGGTGAGTGGGTGGTTGAGTGGTTGAGTGATACACAGATCACACGTGAAGGCACGATTACGGTGAGAAGTACTTGACGTTGGCGAGTGCCTTGACGCGTGCGGCGGCGAGCAGCGACTGTGCGGCGATCCTGTGGCTTGAGGGTGATCTCAGGTGCGAGCGTATCCTCAGGACGTCGAGGCGGACGACGGCGATGTGCAGCAGGTAGAGGAGCGAGAGCGACCAGAGGGCTAATAAGAGGAAAGTGAAGAAGTTGAGAAATGTTGAAGGATTATTTTAGGCACATTTTCAGGGCGATTTGGGGGAATTTGGGGAAAGGCGATTTTAGGTGGAGGAGGCAGCGAGTGAGGTGGGTGGAGAGGGTGAGGGAAGTGAAGGGGCGAGAGAGGGCGACGAAGGGGGAAGATGGGTTGAGAAAAGGCGGTTTCGGAGGTGGAGGGGGAAAGTGGAAAATGAGGATTTGGGTGAAGGACGCCGACGGAGGAGGTGATGGAAGGGGGGGAGGCAGGGAGCGACAGCGACCAGTGAAAGAGGGAGGTGGGTGAGTGAGTGGTTGGGTGAGTGAGTGAGTGAGTGGTTGGGTGGTTGAGTGAGTGGTTGAGTGAGTGGGTGGTTGAGTGGTTGAGTGGTTGAGTGGTTGGGTGAGTGGTTGAGTGGTTGAGTGGTTGAGTGGGTGAGTGGTTGAGTGAGTGAGTTGGTGAGTGGGTGGGTGGTTGAGTGAGTGAGTGAGTGAATGAGTGGGTGGTTGAGTGGTTGAGTGAGTGAGTTGGTGAGTGGGTGGGTGAGTGGGTGGTTGAGTGGTTGAGTGAGTGAGTTGGTGAGTGGGTGGGTGGTTGAGTGAGTGGTTGAGTGGGTGATTAGGTGAGTGGGTGAGTGAGTGGTTGAGTGAGTGGGTGGGTGAGTGGGTGAGTGAGTGAGTTGGTGAGTAGGTGAGTGGTTGAGTGGGTGAGTGATTAGGTGGTTGAGTGGTTGAGTGAGTGGTTGAGTGGTTGAGTGAGTGGGTGGTTGAGTGGTTGAGTGGTTGAGTGAGTGGGTGAGTGAGTGGGTGAGTGGGTGGGTGAGTGGTTGAGTTGGTGAGTGGGTGAGTATGTGAGTGAGTGAGTGGTGAGTGGTTGAGTGGTTGAGTGAGTGGGTGGGTGAGTGAGTGAGTAGGTGGTTGAGTGAGTGGGTGAGTGAGTATGTGGGTGTGTGATTAGGTGGGTGAGTGAGTATGTGGTTGAGTGGGTGGTTGAGTGAGTGGTTGAGTGGGTGGGTGGTTGAGTGAGTGGGTGGTTGAGTGGGTGAGTGGTTGAGTGGGTGAGTGAAGGCACGATTATGGTGAGAAGTACTTGACGTTGGCGAGTGCCCTGACGCGTGCGGCGGCGAGTAGCGACTGGGCGGCGATGCGGTGGCTTGAGGGTGATCTCAGGTGGGAGCGTATCCTCAGGACGTCGAGGCGAACGACGGCGATGTGCGCCAGGTACAGGAGCGACAGCGACCAGAGGGCTAACAACGTTAGCATAAATGGCCATCTTATTTCTTTCAGGAAATTGTCGCACTCCTTGAACAGCTTTTGGAAATATTTGGAGTGCAGCACATTCCTCAACTGACTGCAGAAATCGGAACACTTCTTCGCTGCGCTACCACTATTCAACGTCGACGCCTCGCCGAATGTGAAACCATACTGGTAGAATGTTGATGATACTCCTTTGCACTGGACTATTGAATCACACTGACACACGGCGTCTGCTTTCTTCTCATCCTCGACGACACCATGCTTGCCACTCTTGCACTTGTCTCCTCTGAGACATCCACGGCATCCCCAATCCTGACAGTTGATAGCGCAGAAAGCAGTATAGAGATTGCTGAGTAGATCCCAAAATGTCCATGGGAGGTATATGGCCCAGGAGAGGTAAGTGTTAGAATTCTTGACTGGTAGATAAGTGTAATAATCTCCGCAGAGCGACGTAATATACGGAGCGCAGTGCAGCCCATTTCTGTTACAGGTGTCAAAATCTGTAAGATTCAACAGATGCGAATGCTGGCAACTCGAATGACTAACAGATTCAGAACCGTATGCATCACGAAGCGCATCTGTAAGTTCTGCAGGTTTTTCGTACAGCGCAATGGATAGTTTGGTGATGGCGTCCTCGAAGGATTTTGAACACCGTCTTTATCAATGTTTGTGCGATTATGCCAACCGTTAACGAGAGAGGAAACAAAACCGAAATGCTCGGATAAGGTGGCCGGCGTTTTGGTGCCGAGGCTGAGCAGGGCTTTGATATGTACATTGGTCAACAATTTGCCTAGCACGTTACATAGGTCTTTGCCTCTACGTGTACTGCCTGAGAAACCTCTGAATCCAAGAGGTGTCAGACACGGCATTCCTGGTTTGCCGGTAGGACAATTTATGCACACAGCTCTACAGCCAATAGATGTTAGAGTGTGAGGTAGGTGACCGAGAAGACCGTCTGTGAGATAAGACATTAACGGTGAAGTGGGTTCGCAATCAATTTTGCTTTTGGTGTGCTCATTGCACAGCGATTTGGAAGGGCGAATGTCTTTACCGTATCTGCACTGCAACCAACCGCAGTCGGATGACGCATTGTTACACTGGTTCAGCAGAAATTTAAGTGGAGGGAATATTCTACGCAGGATGTCAAGCAACATGTCGAGGCACGCGGATGGATTAGAGGGGTAATGTAAAACCGAGGAATTGTTAGAGAGGTCGCAGGCGTATGTCGTATAGGCGTCGCCGTTGCCCAGGATAGAAGTGAGTATATTACGTGAATCTGAGCAGATGTCACTTAATGTCAAACGCAAATCGGCTGCCGTTAATGTTTCAGGATACGCATGGAATGTTAGCTTATCGGAATGAATCTGTGAATATTCGATATCCTTTTGGTCATCGGGTTTGTCGCACAGTGTTTTAATGTGTTTCTTAAGTTGTTCAAAAACATTGTTATGCGGGAGACCGCTTAACCATTGTAGCATTTCGTTCACGGAACATGGATGTCTCTTTGCGGTGAATGTAGCTATGTGGCATACTTCATTATACTTATGAAGATAACGGTAAAGATATGTAAACGGACCCCTGAACTGACCTGGTAATAAGCCTTTTGAATTGAGGTAGAGGCTATCATAAATATATTTACCCGTGCACTCCGGCTTATTAAGCAATTCGCCTTCATAGCCATTATAATCTTTCGAAACAATAAATCCGCAGTTGTCAAAAAATTCGCCGAGTGGATTCTCTTTATTATTTTTCTCGCGTAGGTGAATTTGCATTCCTTTCCACGCAGCGTCATCTTTACATTGCGTTCGTAGCTTTTCAATGTCATGGAACAATGTGGAAACGCAAGTGAGAAGGACTTTCGACAACTTCCGTCCATAGTCGTTCAACTCGTATACCGGCTCGGGTTCTTTTCCGGGGGTGAGAACAAATTTACCGTCCCTCAACTCCTCCTCAAATTTCTCATCGTCGTACACGTTCACATAGGCGTACCCTAACTGCTTGCACCAGTCCGTCATGCCGCGTTTCACAACGTTGAGCAGCTTGGGATTTACGCCTTGGCCGAATTCCGTGGCGCTTAGGGCGGTGACGGCATCTTTGAGTGACGCCAATTTTTTGTTGAACTCGTAGTCGAAAATATATTCTCTTTTTCGGTTGTCAACAAAATGCGTAAGTAAATCGTTACATTTGGTTTTGGCATCTTTAAGCATTTTGACGTTGGGGTCATCTGTCATACGATTGGGAGTAATTTGGTGAATTACATAGGCGTAAATATTATAAAGGTATGCTTGAAATTTAATAGAGAAATCTTTGAAGTTGTCTTTAGTAAAGGGAGTTGGCAGATCTGTTACAGCTTTCGAAATGTCATTAAGCAACTTACCCACAGATTTGTCAAAACGAAGAGAGCCGATGCTAATTTGCAACACCTCTGTACCACGCACACTCCTCATCAACCCTTTAGTTCCACTCGCCGTATCTTTCTTAATTATCTCGGTGATCGTTACTGTATGATCGTTGACCAATTTCCTTAGCTGCTCCAACTCGGCTTTGCGTTCCTCGGCGAAGAGTGTCCTAACATTCATGGTAACATCGGTGAAAGCGCGTTGGAGTTCGCGGATGATATCGGTTTTGACATTGATCATTGCTTCAGTCAACGTCTTACGGGTTGCAAGGACAGCGTTGTACACGTCGCTGATGGCCTTTGTCAGCGTTTCATTGGCTGTGATGACAGCAAGGTTAACGCTTGTGAGAAGGCCTTCAATTTCAGCTTTCAACTTCTTCATAAGGTCTTCTGCTGCATTTTCCGCCGTATTTATTGCTCCATTGTTATCGCCTCTTATTTTATCGAGTGTTTCAATGTCACCTTGAAGGTGTTCAATCTTCTTGTCAATTTCACCGCTTTTTGCCACCAACAATTTTTCAAGCGCCTGAATTTTTCCTTTTACGAATTCTAAATTCATAGAAATCCTACTGCCAGGCTCTTTATTGTTGACGTCCTTGTCGCCGAGTCTTGTTTTAATCAGACCTACATCTCTTATAGCCGCCTCTAGGTTGGTGCCGAGGTTATACATTTCCACGCCACCTTTATTCTTGGCGGACGTAAAACTCCCAATTGCTTTGGCAGTCTGGCTCGCCCTGCCGACAAGACGGTGGAGAACGCCTTGGACGGCGGTTTGGAATATAGTTTGGAGAGCTAAAGAAGGTGGAGATTTACTGTTCACTTCCTTCTCAATCTGCTCGGCAATGGTATTGGAGAGCGCGAACATTGCGGAGGACTTTACTCCTGAACTAGGTTGGTTGTGCGTTAGTTTCGTATCAAGCTTCTCCGCAAACGTCTTGCAACCATCCCTCACAGCTTCAAAATATGTTTGAATTTTTTTATTGGCATTTTCTGTCCGCTCGGCTTCTTTGATCTTAGTTGAAACCGCTTGACTGGCTTCCTCAATAATATCTTTCGGGTCATTAAGCTTATTAATGATTTCAGCTGTGATTCGCTTGTTGAGTTCTGTATAATTTATATTGCCATTTGTCTTATATGTCGGACTCGACAAATTATTGCCATCCCCAACAGCCTGTTTAACTCTCTCCTTCACATACTCATCCTTATTCAATATATTGTTTATCCACAGCTCAACTTTATTCTTAAACGCATTCTTCGCAGTGAATGTTTCCGCCCATGACTTCAAATAGTCCTCAATCTCACCAAGATAACCGGATTTCTTATTTCCCTTCTCAATCATATAAAGCCCATTAACAAGATGCAAAATGACTCCTTTAAGTCCCTCCCAATCTCCCATTATACCACCTTTCATTGTATCACCAATTCCTGTTCGAATCCCCTCAAAGCTCTCCTGCGCTCTGCTGACCAAATTGTCGAGTGCCAATTTGTTAGTTGATATATTTGTATACAGTTTTCCCACAGCTTCCTTTATATCTTCAAATCGGGCAAGAATTTTGTCCTTATATTTGTTATCAAAAATGCTGCCCTTCCGACCAAGCAACTCCTGAGCCATCTTTTCCAGGTTTTTATTAAGGATACCAAAACGCTCATTCCATTTTTCATTCATATCGGTCGTCTTCTTAAATAATTTATCGCATTCTGTATTCAGCGCACTCTGCAGCTCGCGAACCTTTTGTTCGACCGCATCTTCAACCCTTTTCTGCTGCGCATTGAGCTCAGTGTCCACCTTTTTAGCCTGTGCCACAAACCCCTGCACCTCAGCAGAGTCAAGCAACAACTTTAGTGATGTTTTTATCGGTGCAAAACTATGCATGATTTTGTCGTGCAATTTACTATCTAACTTAATAATATGTTCCGTTTCTATGCTACTAAGTGCGTTATAAATTTGTGAGAGGGTGGTCTTCCACTGCTCCAGTTGTGTCTTGAGCTCATCACCTGCATATTTCGTAACATTATTCATGGACAACTCACCTATTTTTTCCTTCGACAATGATGTCAATGCACCTGCAACAGCATTAGTTAACTCACGCAATTTACCTTCATACCTCCCAAGCCACGCACTCACACTGCCAATCTGCGTGGCCAAAGCGCCAGACCCCTTACCTATGGAAACTTCAAGAGAGTTGAGAACACTATCTAATTTTGGCTCAGCAACGTTTTCATCATATTTCTTAACACTTTCATCCTCCTTCACACTCTCAAGAACACCATGAAGGAAAGACATCACCCCGTCGCACAGCCTGTCAAGGTCCGAGTACACGATGCCGGAGCCGTCGTAGCCTTTGGAAGTTTCTTGGTATCCAAGGAACTTCTCCAAGCCAGAGCATAGGTTATTAAGGATATTATGTGGATTATTTTAAGCACATTTTCAGGGCGATTTGGGGGAGTTTGGAGAAAGGCGATTTTAGGTGAGGAGGCAGCGAGGGAGGTGGGTGGACAGGGTGAGGGAGGTGAAGGGGCGAAAGAGGGCGATGGAGGAGGAAGATGGGTTAAGGTAAGGCAATTTTGGGGGTGGAGGAGGAAAGTGGAAAATGAGGATTTGGGTGAAGGGCGCCGACGGAGGAGGTGATGGAGGGGTGAAGGAGGAGGTGAGTGGTTGAGTGGGTGAGTGGGTGATTAGGTGAGTGGGTGAGTGGTTGAGTGGGTGGGTGAGTGGTTGAGTATGTGGGTGAGTGAGTATGTGGGTGGTTGAGTGAGTGGGTGAGTGAGTGGGTGAGTGTTTGAGTGGGTGGTTGAGTGAGTGGGTGGTAGAGTGAGTGGGTGGTTGAGTGGGTGGTTGAGTGAGTGGGTGAGTGGGTGATACACAGATCACACGTGAAGGCACGATTATGGTGAGAAGTACTTGACGTTGGCGAGTGCCCTGACGCGTGCGGCGGCGAGGAGGGACTGTGCGGCGATGCGGTGGCTTGCGGGTGATCTAAGGTGGGAGCGTATGCGGAGGACGTCGAGGCGGACGACGGCGATGTGCAGCAGGTACAGGAGCGAGAGCGACCAGAGGGTGAGGAGGAAAAAGTGTGAAAGTTGAGAAATGTTGACAAATTATTTTAGGCACATTTTGAGGGCGATTTGGGGGAATTTGGAGAAAGGCGATTTTAGGTGAAGGAGGCAGTGAGGGAGCGAGGGAGGTGGGTGGACAGAGTGAGGGAGGTGAAGGGGCGAGAGAGGGCGATGAAGGGGGAAGATGGGTGAAGGAGAGGCGATTTTAGGGGTGGAGGGGGAAAGTGGAAAATGAGGATTTGGGTGGAGGACGCCGACGGAGGAGGTGATGGAAGGGGGGTGAAGGCAGGGAGCGAAGCGACCAGTGAAAGGGGAGGTGAGTGGTTGAGTGGATGAGTGAGTGATTAGGTGGGTGAGTGATAAGGTGAGTGAGTGAGTGATTAGGTGAGTGGGTGAGTGGGTGAGTTGGTGATTGAGTGATTGAGTGGGTGGTTGAGTGTTTGAGTGAGTGGTTGAGTATGTGGTTGAGTGAGTGGGTGGGTGGTTGAGTGGTTGAGTGGGTGAGTGGGTGGGTGAGTGAGTGGGTGAGTGAGTGAGTGGGTGGGTGAGTGGGTGAGTGGTTGAGTGAGTGGTTGAGTGGGTGGTTGGGTGGGTGGTTGAGTGAGTGGTTGAGTGAGTGAGTGAGTGGGTGGGTGAGTTGGTGAGTGGGTGAGTGGGTGAGTGGGTGGGTGAGTGGGTGAGTGAGTGAGTGGTTGAGTGAGTGGTTGAGTGGTTGAGTATGTGAGTGGGTGAGTGGTTGAGTGGGTGGTTGAGTGAGTGGGTGGTTGAGTGAGTGGGTGGTTGAGTGAGTGGGTGGTTGAGTGAGTGGGTGAGTGGGTGATACACAGATCACACGTGAAGGCACGATTATGGTGAGAAGTACTTGACGTTGGCGAGTGCCCTGACGCGTGCGGCGGCGAGGAGGGACTGTGCGGCGATGCGGTGGCTTGCGGGTGATCTAAGGTGGGAGCGTATGCGGAGGACGTCGAGGCGGACGACGGCGATGTGCAGCAGGTACAGGAGCGACAGCGACCAGAGGGCTAACAACGTATTCATGAATGGTGATCTGATAATATAAAGGAATTTGTCGCACTCCTCGAATAGGTTTTTGAAATATTGTGAATGAATAATTTTACCTAACTGTTCTGCAAATCTGAAGCAGCTCTTGCGGCTATCCAGTGAATTCAAGCTTGCAGCGTCGCCAAATATAAATCCGTATTTGTATAATGTGGGCGAGACTCCCTTGCATTTTACTAGGGATGAACACTGGCAGGAAATGGTAGTTTTGCCGTGCTCGCCGTTTTTACAATTGGCGTTATTAAGACACTTGCGGCAGCCCCAGTCCTTGCATAAAATACCGTTGAATGCCTGGAGTAGATTGTTAAGATATTCCCAAAATTTCCATGGAGTATATACTGCCCAGGATAGATATAGGTTTGAATTCTTATTGCCGATGTAGCTGTAGAAGTCGTGGCACAGGGTAGTTAGGTATGGAGCACAGTGCCGCTTTAGTCTGTAACAGGGCTCCGATTTTGTTATATTCGATAGATGCGGATGTTTGCATAATACGTGACTAGCAGAGGTGGATCCATATGCATCGATAAATGTTTTGGTTAGGTTAGTTGCGTCACCGTACAGATTAATGGAAACCTTTTTGATTGATGATTCAACGGACACTTGCGAAGTGGGCTTATTAACTGGTTTATGGTTAAACGTTAAATCATAATGCCAATGCCTGACGAGAGATTCAACAAAACCAAAGTGCTCTGATAGCGTAGCCGGAGGTTTGGGAGCGAGACAGAGAAGGGCTGTAACGAAGACGTCATCGAAAAATTTGGTAAGCACATCACACAGCTCCTTACCTGTCTTCGTAGATCCAGAAAACGCCCGGAAACCGAGAGGTGTTAAACATGGCATTCCGGGTTTGCTGCCAGGACATGTTTGACATACCGATCGGCATCCAACACTGCTTAACTGGTGTGGCAAGTGGCCCGGCAGGCAGTCGTTTAGGTAGCTCATTAGTGGAGACGTTGGTCGGCACATAGGTTGACAATTTGGTTCGGCGTTTGCCTGACCATTTGGTTGGAAATTTGGTTGACTGTTTGAGTGATCACTACACGGCGATTTGGCCATAGAGGCATCTTTGCCGTAGAGACATTGTTCCCATCCCCCGTGCTGAGTGGTGAGGCGACACTGGCTATTTATGAATCTCAATGTAGGGAACAATCTACGCAGTATGTCAAGAAGCGTGCTGAGACAATTTTCCCCAGAGGTAGGATAATGTAGACCTATGTGATTGCATGAAAAGTCGCAAGCGTAGTTCGTGTATGCGTCCCCCGTCCCTATGAGGGCGGTGAGGACGGCGTACGAATGTGAACAAATGTGATCAAGTGCGTAATTAACATCGTTAGGCAAAAATGACTTAGGATACGCGTCTATCGGCTTAAGTATTTTTTGAGGCGGCTGTGAGTCGTCATCCACCAGAAACAGGCTGTGAATGTGGTCTATAAGTGATTCATACACGGAATTGAACTGCAGACCTGTCAGCCAAAGTAGCATTTCGTATATGCTACAGGGTGACTTCTTGGAGGAGAAAGTAGAGAGATGACATGTCTCGGCATATGGTTTAAGGTAGCTGTGAAGCTGAGGAAGTATACCCTCCTCGTTAACTACCTCTATTGGCAGGTCAGCATCATCGTCATCACCGGTAGACCCGGTAAGGCCGGAGAGGCTATTAGCAGATGGACTAAAAAGCACATGGTTTGCGCTAGTGAGGTGCTGAAGAATATTACCGCCGTTGAACCCTGTTTTGTAATTCAATTCTCCACGTTGTATGTATTCATCACGGCCAACATCGTAACCGTTGTCTCTAAGGAAGACGCCATATAGGGAGGACTGCGGCTGCCTGGAATTATAGATTGCATACCGCCTCCAGGAATTCCCCGATTTTTCAATATTCTCTTTGAGCTCTTTTAGGCCGGTAAGAAGCATAGGGAATGTGGTGAGACACACTTTTGCATATTTCGTCGAATCATTTTCCGACCATACTCTTTCGGCATATCTATTAACGTAAGCGTCCTCTAGCTGCCTACCGAAGTCATTCACGCCGTCTTTAAGGAGATTGAGCAAATCGGCATGCTTGCCCTCTCCGAATTTCTCGGCGCTTAAGTCGGCGACAGACTTCAGTAGAGCATCTAGATTCTTGCTGAAAGTGTAATCGAAATTATACGCTTTACCTGTAGTTTTGCAAAGATGGGCAAGCAAGGCGTTGAGCGCAGTTCTGATGTTCTCAACCATAGCGGCGTGAGGGTCGTGATTCTGAGTCCCAGGCCCCTGACGTGGAGCCTTGGGACGCCTTGGTGTGAATTCTTCATCTAGATATTCAAACAGACCCTCGAAATAAACTACAGCTTTTACAGCCAACTCCGATAGTTTCATACCATCACTGAGCGAAGACCTCTGAAATTGATCTTCAAGCAAACTGTTCATTTCCTTGAAAAAACCCTTCACCCCTGTTGCTTTATCCTCCCTGATAATCTCATCTATCCTCGCCAACTGCGCCGTGACTACGCCCTGCAGCTGCGTGAGCTCGGCCTGCTTCTGCTTTGCGAAGAGGGAGCGGACTTGGTGGGTGAGGGTGGAGAAGGCTTCACGAACCACATTAGTTAGTTGGTTATTCAGTTGGTTGATGGTATGTCTGGATTTTTGTTCGGCGTCGTTATAGGCCATGCTAATATTGTTAATATCTTCTGTCAACTGATACTCGGCAGTCTGAACAACTTCCTCAACTTTGTCAATCCTTGTTTGAATTCCCTTTATTTCGTTCTTCAGCACCTCCATGATCTTTTCCGTCGCTTTCCTAGCATCTTCAATAGCACCAGGGAGGGATTCAAGATTGTTGATATTATCCAACACGTGCTTAATGGCCCAATCGTACTTAGGCCTGGCACCGTCGCCGCTATCTTCGTCCCCAGCTTCGACGTACTTATAACCGTCTATCTCGTCTGTATTCACAGTCCCGCCTCCTCTACCATTACTGCTAATCCCGTCACCAAACTGCTCCTTAATATCCTCGATCAGGCCCCTGAGCGCCCCTTGGCCACTAGCGTCTTCCATAGTCTCCTTATAATAGGCGCTCATGAGCTCATCAAGCTTTATGGCCCCCAACTCTTCTTTGATAACGTCCTTAAGTTGATTTTCTAAGGCAGTCTTTATATCTCTACCCAGTTGCTCGAATAAAACGTCACCAGATAGGGTGGCACTTTTATCAGTTTTCACAGCGTTCAGATTTTTTAGCACACTGTTAATTTTTTTGGCAAGTTCAGGATTATCATGAGCCACCACTCTAAATCTGGTTTCTAAGTCATTCAACTTAGCAGTTTGAAAACCTGTTTCCAAACCCGTAACACCTTTAGTGGGTGAATAAGTGTCACTAGTCGCAGCCATCTGCACACCCAATTCCACCGCAATCCACATCTGTTTGAGGAATCCATCCAGCTGTATATTAATTTGCGTACGAACATGTTGCAACCCCTTTTTAACCGCAGTATCAACATCTTCAAGATGTCCCACTGCACTATCTACCATTAGGTCAACTGCCGCTTTAACCTCTATCAATTTCCCCTGGTATACCCCTTCAATCTCTTCAACCGCCGCTTTAACCTCTTCCAGGTCCTTTTCAAGTTGGCACTGCGTTCCTGGGCTTGGATCAACTTTCAGCGCCGCGGCTTTTTCTTTAAGGTGTTCAAATTTCTCACAAACAACAACAGTGTATTTTTCATTAAAGTTTTTATCATTTTCACCAAGCAGCTCACTGACCAACGCCTTCGCCTCCTCAATTTCTTTATTGACCGACGTGAATTGCTCATCTTTCTTTTGATACAAGTTTTCAAGTTTTTGTTTAATTCCCTCAAACCCACTATTTAACGTCCCTTGCACATCTGCAATGCCTTGTTCTATCGCCGCGTCAATATTCCTTTTCTTCGTCTTCAACTCCCTGTCCACCGCTTCTGCCGCTGCATTCACTCCCTGATCCTCCGCACTCCTCTTGAACCCGTCCGCCGCCTGTACAACCAGGTTCACATGCTTATCTAACATACCTGAAAGCGCGGGATCCAAAGCCTTGCTGGCCTCTTCCGCCAACGAAGCCTTCACCCAGTAGAGTCTTGCATATTTTTGTACCTCTTGCAATTGAACCTGCAAATTTTCAGTATTAACATTGTCTAAATACTCTCTTAAAATTGTGAAATTGCTCTGTATGGCTGTCACATCCTCTACAACCTTCTTACATTTATCCCCTAATTTCTCCTCATACCTCTCCAGCCCCTGACGCACTCTCCCAATGGCATCGCGAAATCCCTGAACACCAAGGCCCTTACCTATTTTACTCTCTAAATCTCTTATAGTGTCAATAATCTGAGGATAATAATGATGTAAAAGCGTTTTACTGCCTTGAAGACATTGGAGGATAAACGCCATCACCCCGTCGCAGAGCCTGTCGAGGTCGGAGTACACGATGCCAGTGCCGTCGTAGCCTTTGGAATGTTCATTGTAACCAAGGAATTTTTCTAAGCCTTCAGTGAGATTTGTTAATAGGTTTTTACAATTTTCATCGCCAATAAAATCTTTAAGTTTTTCTTTAAGCTCATTAAGCGTAGTCTGCCTGTCAGTAATATCCTTCAAAGCTTTCTTTCTGGCATCCTCTGTAAGGTAATGAACTTCATTATAATGGTTATCATACTTGGATTAAAGGTGGAATAGGGGGGAGTTAAAAGGAGTAAAAGGGGGATTATTAGGGTAATTTTCAGGGCGATTTGGGGGAATTTGGAGAAAGGCGATTTTAGGTCAAGGAGGCAGTGAGGGAGGTGGGTGGACAGGGTGAGGGAGGTGAAGGGGCGAAAGAGGGCGATGAAGGGGAAAGATGGGTGAAAGTAAGGCGATTTAGGAGGTGGAGGGGGAAAGCGGAAAATGAGGTTTTGGGCGAAGGACGCCGACGGAGGAGGTGAGGGAGGGGTGAAGGCAGGGAGCGAAGCGACCAGTGAAAGAGGGAGGTGAGCGGGTGAGTGGTTGACTGGGTGGTTGAGTGGTTGAGTGGGTGAGAGGGTGAGTGGTTGAGTGGGTGAGTGAGTGGGTGGGTGAGTGAGTGGGTGAGTGAGTGGTTGAGTGGTTGAGTGGGTGAGTGTGTGGGTGGGTGAGTGAGTGAGTGAGTGAGTGGTTGAGTGAGTGGGTGGGTGGGTGATACACAGATCACACGTGAAGGCACGATTATGGTGAGAAGTACTTGACGTTGGCGAGTGCCTTGACGCGTGAGGCGGCGAGGAGGGACTGCGCGGCGATGCGGTGCGATGAGGGTGATCTCAGGTGGGAGCGTATCCTCAGGACGTCGAGGCGGACGACGGTGATGTGCAGCAGGTACAGGAGCGACAGCGACCAGAGGGCTAGTAACAAAGTCATGAATGGGAATCTGATTTGTTTCAAAAATTCATCGCACTCCTTGAAAAGCTTATCAAAATAATCAGAATGTAACACCTTGTGTAATTGGCTGCAGAAATCCTTACACTTCTTCACTGTGCTACCACTATTCAACGTCGACGCCTCGCCGAAGCTGAATCCATACTGGTAGAGCGTCGGTGCCACGCCTCTGCAGGATACTATGGATTCACACTGACATGTGTCATCATCTTGCTTATCATCCTCAACAACACCATGCTTGCCTCGCTTGCACTTGTCTCCTCTGAGACATCCACGGCATCCCCAATCTGCACAAGTGATTTGGCAAAAGGCATTATATAAATTGTTGAGTAAATCCCAGAATGTCCATGGGAGGTAAATGGCCCATGATAAGTACGTGCTAGAATTCTTAAATGGTAGACACGTGTAGTAACCTCCGCAGAGTGATGACAGATACGGAGCGCACTGCTTAGTTTTGTTACATACACCGAAAGATGTGAGATGCATCAAGTGATGATGTTCGCAGCTAGAATGACTAACAGATTCAGAACCGTAGACATCACGAAGCGCATCTGTAAGTTTGGCAGGCTGTTCGTACAGATTAATGGATAGTTTGCTGGCCGAGTCTTCGAAGGATTTTTGGAAGTAAACCTTATGATACGTTTTGCCATCATGCCATCCACGAACAAGAGCGGACGCAAATTCGAAGTGCTCTGGTAGCGTCCGTGGCGTTTTGACTGAAAGGGCAAACAAACAATAAATATTTCTTATTTCAAGCAATTCCCCGATTACGGAGGACAAGTAGGCCCCTGTTTTGGTGGAACCAGAGAAGCCTCTAAAACCCAATGGCGTTATACAAGGCATTCCTGGTTTACCGCCAGGGCAGGTGGTGCATTTCGCTTGGCAGCCGATAGATGTTAAATTATGTGGAAGATGTCCGATTAAAGAGTCACTTAGATACGACTGAAGGGGCGATTTGGGGAGGCATTTGGTTGGCTCTTTGGTCCCCTGTTTGGTATGCTCGTTGCATTGCGATTTGGTTGACTTGACATCCCTGCCGTACTCGCATCGCAACCAACCATGTTCAGCCGCCGGCGTACCGCATTGAGCGAACAAAAATTTAAGTGGCGGGAACAGGCGGCGGAGCACGTCGAGGAGCGTATCAAAGCACTGCGCTGGATTAGATGGATACTGTAGACCCAACGAATTGCTCGGGAACTCACAGGCATACCCGCACTCAGCGTCGCCGGTGCCAACGACAGTGGTCAGCACGGCGTATGCTTTGCCGCATATTTCATCAATAGCTTCAATCGTCAAGGTATCTGTAATTTTCGAAGGAGAGGCGTCAATGGGCTTATAGATTTTCTCAGACGGGTTGTTTTTATCTGGCACTTCGAACAGCGATCTGACGTGTTTAGGTAACTTAACGTATACAGGGTTGTGCGGGAGCCCGGTGAGCCACACTAACTGCTCGTACACAGAGCATGGTGCCCTCTTGGAGAAGGAAGTGGCTAAGTGGCCGACATGGAAGAAATCTTTAAGGTAGGCGAAAAGATCTGGAATTAAACCGCCCTCTTTGACCTCATCGACGGGTATGGCATCAGGAACGGAAGGCATGGCCTTATGTGACTGCTTACTAGTGACGAACAACTTATGTGTGTCATTATTAAGATGGCCAAGAATACGGCCACCAGTACAGTCAACGTGATGATTCAGTTCGCCGCTGTCTGCATTTCCGCGAAGGCCAACATCGTAACCGTTTTCACGGAAGTAGAGTCTGTGTAAGCTCTGGTGGGAGGCATCTGGATTATATATTTTATACTCTTTCCAGTCGTTTTCAACTCCATCTTTTAGCTCTTTTAACGCGTCACATACGATGGGAGTTACGGTGAGCATGATTTTCGCGCACATCCCCTTTTCGGGATTGTGTTCGTCATTCCAGTCAATTTCCTGCTGCGAATATGTCGAAACGTAGGCATTCTTAAGTTGTTCGACGAAATCCGAGAAGCCATTCTTCAGAGCGTTAAGTAGCAACGGACATTTTGAGTCGCCGTATGTGGAGGGCTTGAAAGCGGTGACAGCGTTGCGAAGTGACTCCAAATTTTGAGAGAACGTGTGGTCGAAGTGTTTTGACCCGCCAAGTCCACCAACTAATTTGGCCAGCGCATTTTTGGAATTCCTTATTTCAGCGGCGGCCGGCGTGAAATCCTTCTGTTTTTCCAATGTTTTAAAGAATTCTTTGAATATGGGTTTCAACATATCCCCTGCTTTACCAAGCGGATGCCTCTCTTTTGTAGGGGACGTAGTGTCAATGTCGCCGATTTGTTTGACTTTTTTGACAAGCGACTCTGCGAATGTACTCATGAACTTTTTGTGTCCTTGTTGCAGGTCATCTGAAATGGCTTGTGGCAAACGATCCAAGTCGCTCTGAACTTTCTCAGCAAATTTAGTTAACAAGGCTTTTATTGATTCAACGTATTGCTTCCTTGCGTGCGTGGTGAGAGTTTCTTGAGCCACTGTTACCTGCTTGCCGACGTCCTTTTCCAGTTCCTGTAGTGTAGCTTGGAGGGAGAAGTCTGCGTGGCCAATGAATCTCTGAGCCTCCTTGAGGGGACCGGTTTCCAGTTCCTTTTGCAGTTTATTAAGATCACTGTGGATTTTGTTGAGACCTTTTTGTTTTTTGCCTTTAATGTCTACTGTGTCTTTATTAATAAGGTTTTTCAGCTCCTGCAATTTTGTCTTGGCACTATTCGGATCCGATTCCGCGGCATTCCTAATATTATAGCACATGTTGTTAAGATTAGAGGTGACTTCTCCGAGTTTGAGTATAGCTTGCCCACTGAAATTGTCGATTCCAGTCAAAGCGGCATTTACCTGCGTCTTGATCTCCTTGATCGCGGCTGGAAGGGTGCCTGCAAGGCTGTTAATGTCACCGTTCAGGGTGGATTGGTCGACTTGATTTTTGTATTGCAGGAAGCCTGAAGAACCATTAATGTTCACTGAGCTACTTACTTCCGGCAGCTGCTCGTCGAGCGTCTGGCCCACCGCCTTGATCGCTAGGTCGACGGCTTTGGCGTGGTTGGTGCCGCCAAGCGCCTGTGCTAAGTTATTGTCAAATCCTTCAGCGTCAGTTGAAGCAGTCTTCAAACTACTAATATCAGATTGCTGGACGAATTTCTCGAATTCCTGTTCTGCGCCCTTAACGGCGGAATGCACGGAGGTGAGGATGGTTGTGAGACATAGTCTGAGGAAGCGTTTGTCGCCTGAGGACACAAATCTGCCATTTAAAACTTTACTTTCAATTTCTCCGCTTATTTCAGTCGCCTTTGATTCTGGATCAACTGCTTGTACGACCGCATGAACATAATTCTTTATGCTATTAAGAGTATCTTCAGCATTATCCTTACCTTCAGGTTTTGAAGAAACTCCTGTAACGCGACCATTTATTTTTTCTTCGATTATCTGTTGCAATGATTTTTTGTCGGCGCCAGTAACGTAATTGAGACATGTGGATACAGTTCCGTCACTCTGAAAAATTTTCTGCACCATGTCTTTAATCGCCCCTTGAAACCTAACTTCGAAGCCAGTCGCATACGTCCACCTAAGTCCTCTGACAAAACCCAATATACCATCGCCATTTTTTCCGTCACCCGTAATTCCCTTTATCTTTCCTTTAACATACTTGATAAGTGCATCAATTGTCTTTTCTGTCACTCTCGTTGCATCGCCCTCATTTACGACTCCATACAGCTCCCCAATCTTCACATTAATAGCATCCACCTTCCCTTTTATCGCCTCCCTCACCCCGTGCAAATCCCTCTTCAGCTGCGCGTCCATCGTTTTCACGGCCTCGAGGGCTGTTTTAACGGTATCTTTTACAGCCTCAATTGCTCCTGTCCCATTGTTGTAAAGCCCTGTAACCTGTATCTCAACCTGCTTAACCACCTCCTCAATCAGATGAGGATATTTCTTTTTATCATTCCAATCAACATTCTTTATTATTTCTTCCACCTGTTGCAATGCCTTGTTCACTGCATCATTTGCGTTGTTGATCCACTCCGCCAACTCTTTGACGTACTGCTTCAGACTCTGATTGGCCTTTATAAGCGCATCCAAAAGCTTCTGCACCCTTTTTCTCAGATCCGCTACCAACACTGTCACTCGATCACGTATGTTGCAATCTACGCTTGTTTTCAAAGTTCTTAAAGCTTGTTCAACCTTAGCAATGGTCGCCTGCAACACCTGCGCTTCGTGCTCCTTCACCTCCCCGAGGCGCTTATTTTCATACACTATCGTGCTACGGAGATTATTAAGCTTAACTTTTAGACTATCATTAAGATCATTAATTGCATCTTTATGTGTGTTATTAGTGTCACTAATGTTTAGGCTATCAGTGAATTTCTGAGCCTCCTTCTTGCACTCCTCCAGCTTGGCATCCACTTGCTTACAGACGTTCTCCGGTCCCTTGTCCTTTTTGGCTTCGTCAACCTGAATATCATTAATGTCCTTAAGTAACTTACCTCCTTGTTCTGGTTTCTTCGTGTAGTCTTGGAGATCTGTCACAATTTTTTTCACAGCATTATTAGACTTTACAACACCCTCATTATACTCCCTCACCCCCTTGACCACTGCTTTAATCGCAGCATTAAAACCTTCTTTACCAGAGTGTTTATGAAGCTTAAGAGACTCAATTGCATTATTTATTTTACTACTATGTAAGCCTAATTTAGGCTTAATGTTATCTAAAACACCATGAAGGAAAGACATCACCCCGTCGCACAGCCTGTCAAGGTCGGAGTACACGATGCCCTCGCCGGTGTAATTACCATTACTGTGGCCGAGAAAATTTTCGAGGCCTGTGCAGAGGTTATTTAATAATGTTGATGAAGGATTATTTTAGGCACATTTTCAGGGCGATTTGGGGGAATTTGGGGAAAGGCGATTTAGGTCAAGCAGGCAGTGAGGGAGTGAGGGAGGTGGGTGGACAAGGCGGGGGAAGTGAAGGGGCGAAAGAGGGCGATGGAGGGGGAAGATGGGTTGGGAAAAGGCGATTTTGGAGGTGGAGAGGAAAGGTGGAAAATGAGGATTTGGGTGAAGGACGCCGACGGAGGAGGTGATGGAAGGGGTGAAGGCAGGGAGCGAAGCGACCAGTGAAAGAGGAGGTGAGTGGGTGGTTGAGTGTGTGAGTGGTTGAGTGTGTGAGTGAGTGGTGAGTGTTTAGGTGAGTGGGTGAGTTGAGTGGGTGGGTGAGTTGAGTGGGTGAGTGGTTAGGTGAGTGAGTGAGTGGGTGGGTGGTTGAGTGGGTGAGTGGGTGGGTGATAGACAGATCACACGTGAAGGCACGATTATGGTGAGAAGTACTTGACGTTGGCAATTTTCCCAACCTTTGCAACGGCGAGGAGCGACTGTGCGGCGATGCGGTGGCTTGAGGGCGATCGCAGGTGGGAGCGTATCCTCAGCACGTCGAGGCGGACGACGGCGATGTGCAGCAGGTACAGGAGCGACAGCGACCAGAGGGATAATAAGACGAATGTGAAGAAGTTGAGAAATGTTGAAGGATTAATTTAGGCACATTTTTAGGGCGATTTGGGGGAATTTGGGGAAAGGCGATTTTAGGTCAAGGAGGCAGTGAGGGAGCGAGGGAGGGGAGAGGGAGGTGTAGGGAGAAAGCGGAAAATGAGGATTCTGGGTGAAGGACGCCGACGGAGGAGGTGATGGAGGGGGTGAGGCAGGGAGCGAAGCGACCAGTGAAAGAGGAGGTGGATGAGTGGGTGGATGAGTGGGTGATTAGGTGGTTGAGTGGGTGGGTGAGTGGGTGGTTGAGTGAGTGAGTGGGTGGGTGGGTGGTTGAGTGGGTGGGTGATTAGGTGGTTGAGTGGGTGGGTGAGTGAGTGGTTGAGTGGTTGAGTGGGTGGTTGAGTGGGTGAGTGGTTGAGTGGGTGGTCAGGTGAGTGGGTGGTTGAGTGGGTGAGTGGTTGAGTGGGTGGTCAGGTGAGTGGGTGGTTGAGTGAGTGAGTGAGTGAGTGGGTGGTTGAGTGAGTGGGTGATACACAGATCACACGTGAAGGCACGATTATGGTGAGAGGTACTTGACGTTGGCTATTTTCCCAACCTTTGCAACGGCGAGGAGGGACTGCGCGGCGATGCGGTGGCTTGCGGGTGATCTCAGGTGGGAGCGTATCCTCAGGACGTCGAGGCGGACGACGGTGATGTGCAGCAGGTAGAGGACAGAGAGGGACCAGAGGGCTAATAAGAGGTATGAGAATGGGATTCTAATGTACCATAATATATCATCGCATTTTTCTAATAGCGTTTTGAAATGGTCCGACTCGATGACCTTTTTAAGTTGATAATAGAAATTATGGCAGAAGCGTCTGTCTGGATTATCCATCAACTTTTTGGAATCACCAAATGTGAATCCATAGTTGTTTAGTATCATGCGTACGCCATGGCACTGCACATAACTCTTGCAGGTACACTGGAATTGGAGTCCATGTTTTCCTACTGCGCAATTACATGCCGAACAACCACCGGCTTTGCAATCGATATTGCAAAAGTCCTCAAACAGTGATTTCAGAAGATTGTAGAAATCAAAAGGCAAATAAGTAAGCCATGACAGATAAAGGTTTGCGTGCTTTGTAGCATATGTGTGATGGGCATCAGCACAGAGAGGTTTGAGATATGGAGCGCAATCTTTGCTTTGTGCCGAACACATAAGATCGGAATGTATAGCAACTTCAGTGCACAGGCTATATAAATCGGAGTGAGTGACGCCGGGAATCTTGTCGTTGTGATCAGACGTTGAACCAGATAATGATTTTAACTGGCTAGTGAACTTTGTGGCTTCATCGGCATATAGCCTCAAGGACATTGCAGGAATAGTATTCGTATTCATATGGTTCACCAATCTGTCGCTGGTAGAAAACTTGCCAGATGACAACTGTCTGAAGATATTGGCAAAGAATGAGAATTGATCTGCCAGAGATTTAGGCGGCGTCGGTGATACCTGCATCAAATAGTTTAGCAGCGTGGGCAACGGCGAGTCCGCACTACCGCAAAATTCGGAAAGCACGTTGCATATATCTTTACCCGTGCCCTTTTTGGATCCGGCATGAGTCAAATCCCAGAAGCCCATGGGCGTCAAACATACCATGCCAGGTGACTGCTTAGGACATGTCGAACACTTGGATGTGCAGCCAACAGAGGATAGTTTGTGAGGCAAGTGACCTGGTAACCCGTCCATTAGGTGAGCCTGTAGAGGTGATTTTGGATAACAAGTTGTTTGGTCATTTGGTTGGCACTTTGCCTGGCACTTTGGTTCGGTCTTTGCTTGGCACATAGGTTTGTCGACTGACTTCTTGCAGTCCCACTGGTAACCGGAAACTTTGCCGCCGTATTGGCAGTCACGCCAACCGTTGCCATCGGCTACGGTGTATCTACACTGCGAATACAAAGAATATAGAGCACGCAACAAACACGTACATATTGCTTTTAACATATCGAACAACTCAGAAGCTCTTTGAGGATAGTAAAAGTTACGTGAATTATCACAGAAATTAGAGGCGTAAGGATAGTCGGCAGTTGGGGCCCCGTGGCCGTGGCCCTGGATTGTGACTAGGAGATTGTGTGAAAGTTGACACGTGGATGCTATGACGCTAACTAGTCCCATGTCAAGGATTGGTCTAAGAACAGGATCCTCCTTATTCGGGTATTTATCGGTGCCATTTATTTTCTCGTTGAGCATTGTGTTACAATGTGTCTTAATGCTCTGATAGACTGCAGTGTACGGAGTCCGCACATCCAACCAAGCATATCACGAATGGAGCATGGAGATTTAGGGGCAGTAGGAATTCTAGTGTGACAGACACTGTAGTAAGTGGCTAAGTGACGGTAGAGCAGGGACATCGGTCCCCATTCTCGCCTAATGGAATTAAGGTATGTACCGACGTCAGAATACCTGAGATCCGAAGGGGTGTCGAAATCGTCGTAATTTGAAAACGCCGTCTTCAGCTTCTCGGCGACTTCCTGACCTGTGTGATTTTTGTTGATAAGGTTCACAGTGTTGTAGCCTTGACTCTCCAAATATTTTTCAAAGTCTCCTTTATTCTTCGTCACTTTCTCGCTGCCGTCAATTTTCAGTTTACTCCAGTCTTTGTGGCAACTGTAGAACAGATGATACAGTTCTTCATAAAGCGTTGACGTTGAGGTAAGCATGATGTTGGCGTACTTGTCAGCATGATTCTTCTTCCAGTCTTCACCGGAGTATTTGTTAACATACGCATGGCCAAGCTGCGTGACAATGTCCGGGAGACCCTTAGTCAAAGCATTTAGCAGCAACGGGCAGTCGCCGTCACCGAATTTCTGCGGAACCAATTCGCCTAGTCGGTTTTTAAGTGTTTGAAGATTTACTCTAAAGTCATGATTAAAGTGCTGTGAGGTGACAAGACCACTCAACAATTTGGTTAGAGCCTCCTTCGAAGGCCACAATTTGTCGTAATTGGGGGAGAAATCTGTCTGCTTTCTCAACTTGTCGAATAGTGCAGTGAATGCGTTGTTTAAGAATTTTGCTCCTTTGCTCAGCGGGGAATTTTCGTTTGGACGAACTACTGTATCGATGGCATCAATCTGTTGCACCTCCAAAATAAATTCGCTTTCCAACTTCTCCATGAACCCCTTAACGCCGATGTGTTTGTCATCCTCAATCTCTTGAGGCAAGTCTTTCAGTTCCCAATTTGTTTGATTCGCAAACTCTGTGAGTAGTGAAATGATAGACGTCACATATTGTCGGCGCGCTTGCGTCGTAATTTTTTCAGTTGCATCTTTGACTTCCTGGTTAACGTGAGCGTGGAGACTGTCGATGATTGGAGCGCTTATTGCAAAGGCGTCTGTTGTGATAAAAGTGTCGGCGGTTTCGATGGCGTTTACCAAAGTACGTCCCATGAGTTCGCTAAGATCATTCACAATCTTTTGAAGTTGCTCAGATTTACCGCCTTTAAGCATTACTGTTTGGAAGTCTGTTAATATTTGTTTGAGGCCTTTTAGCGACTCATTACTGGATGAGTTATCTGCGATGTCTTTGACTGCCTTGCACAGGGCAGCAAATTTTTCGGTAACTGTTCCAGAGTGCTTTATAAGCGTCAATCTGGCCTCCTTGGCGCTGCTTTCAAGGTGTGGAACAGCCTGCTTCACGGTGTTAAGTGTAGGCACAACGGTCCCATTAACCGCATTCTGCAGCTGCCCGATTGCTTTATCTGCTGTCGCTTTGAGGAGCGTGGCAAGTTCATTGTTGACCTGCATGTCGTTCACTTTCCCCGAAATTCCTGCTTCGACAGTTTGACCAAGAATATTTTTCGGGCTGGTGGACCCGGAGTCCCCAGTTGCCGTGTCAAGATTGTCGTGAAGGTGACTAATTTGGTTACTGACTGCGTTCAACACCCTGGTAATCTTGTCGCCTGGCTGGCCGTTTTGCCGTCGCCAAGTGCCTTCTTGATTTCTTCGACATTCCATATAGCATCCTCTACACTTTGGCCGAGGTTGAATGGGGGAGCCTTCTCCTTGGTAGTGAAAGACCCAAGAGCAAGGGCAGTCTGCTTTGCTGTAGCAACAATATGGTGTAGAGCGTATTGTACTGCTGGAAAGAAATGGCGTGTGTCATGCTTGCTTTTATTGACTGAATCATACAATTCAGTATCACCTTCAATCTCCCGGATATTCCAGAGGCAACATCCACAACCCCGCCAGTTTTCAGCTTATCCCCGAGTTTGCTGGCAAATGTATTGCAAACCGCCTGGATTTGTTTAACACTCTTCGTGATATCGCTGTCCGTGCCACTAAGGACAGCTTTAGCTTCAGCAGCTTCCTTAATAATTCCCCCATTGTTGTCCTTCAGCTTTTTTATAATTGCATCTGTGATTTTGCCGTTGAGCTTTGGATAAATTCCACTGCCACTAGGTTCCTCTGTCGTATAAGGCCCTTTAAGTTCACCACCATTACTGCTGTTATCCTCAATATACTTCTTAATATAGCCCTAACTGGCTCGTTAGCCAGAATCCTCGCAATCCATCCCTCCAGCTTTTGTCAAATTTAGTTCTGAAACTATTAGCATACGCCGCCACCCTCGTTTTTATGCCCATCAGGCCTTTGTATTTTTCGTTACCATCGTCTGTGCCTGGCCCATTAATCTCTGCAACAAGCTCCTTAACGTGTTTCGCAAATTCATCCCATTTTTCGAACATACCGCTCTTTTTGCTTTTACCATTTTCACCAAGCCACCCCTTAATTAACCCAACTTCTCCCTAATTCTATTGAGAACATCATCAACATATTTTTTCAAACTATTATTAAGCTCCTTCTTAAGCCCGTCGATTTCACCACTCAAATTCCATCCAGTGGCAATCTTCTGGTTAAACATATCAAAAGATTCTGGCACTTTGAAATGTTCAAAGGCTTTAAGATTTTCAAGCTTCTTAAGCACGTCGTCATCTTTTTCTCTGTTCCCACCACGCTGTCGAAATGCTTCTTCACCTTCACAAAATGCGCATTAAGTGTAGTAGTCATATTCGAAATATCCTGAGCCGCCTTCTCAATCTCTTTCTTATTGTTCGCCTTTTCACTCGGTTTCGGATCATTCACCTCTTTTAGTATGGCTTCCACCTTCTTCAATGCCGTAGTCATAATTTCATCTGCAGCACCTATCCATTTCTGCAAGTCTGCAACATACTCTACCAACTTCTGATGGATGTCTTCAATTTGTTTCTTGATACCGCTAATCAATGCTTTCAGCTGCCTCACTAGATCAGTGACTTGTTCGCTTATTTTATCATTTATGTTCCTTTTAGGGCGTTAAGCACCTCGCTGGTTTTATTCGTCAAGTTAGCTAGGTTGGTCCACTCTCTGGTGGAGAGGTCACGGAGCCTCTTAATTTCGTGGTTAACTGCTTTAACAGCATTATTTACATTGTGTCTACAACTGTTATTTAGGTCGGCTATGTGTTTATGTGCATCATTCATATATCTGTGAAATGCTCCAGCTGTCATGAGACAGTCCCTCGCCACGTTGTCGGCCTTGGTCATGATCTTGGAAAGATCTTGATCACCTGCAACAGAATTAATCTCCAATATTTCACTTACCGTTTCCTTGAGATTTCTCATTTGCCCGTCGAAATCTTGAATCTTGCTCTTGAGATGATTGTTCGACTCCCTCACACCCTCATTATACTTGCTCACCCCCTGGACCACTTCGCCAATTGCCTTATTAAAACCCTCTTTACCAGAGTGTTTATTGGTGTTAAGTGAGTTAAGTGCAACGCTAATTTGTGTTTTATGCTGGCCTAAATGAGGCTGAATGTTACTTAAAACTCCATGAAGGAAAGACATCACCCCGTCGCACAGCCTGTCAAGGTCCGAGTACACGATGCCACTGCCAGTGTAATTACCATCATGGTAGCCGAGAAATTTTTCGAGGCCAGTGCACAAATTATCTAAAATATCTTTACATTTTCCATTTTTATCGCTGTCAACATTCTGATGAAATGTAATAAGCTTATCAAGACTTTCAAGCGATGTCAACGAAGCCTCATGAGACTTCAATTTAGCCTGCTCAGTTTCAAGAGGATTGGAAAGATGGGAGGGAATAGAAACATATTTTTTTGCTTCATCAGGTTTATATCCCTGTTGTGTATACTCATCAATTTGCCTTTTACGTTCCTCTTCAACTGCACTTTCAAGACGCTTAATCTCTGTATTAAGCTCCTGAATTTTCTTGTTAATTTGCTTTTCAGGCTCTTTTAATTGAGTTTGAAGCTCATTAATTTGCCTTTTAAGCTCCTCTTTTTCTTTTTGAAGCTCCTTATTTTTTAGCTCAATTTTCTTCAGAATCTCAGTATCACTGACGGGCGGCGCCCTTCCAGGCGCCTTCCTTTTTTCATCTTTTTGCTTTTTAAGGCTATAAATTTTTGTTGCAATTTTATCAACTTCATTAAATTTATCTTGAAGATTTTTAAGATGATCATCACGGAAATTATTAATATCACAATTACACTCCCCATCTCCACAAGATGTTTCCAAAAGCTTTTCAAGCTGAGTTACATTACTGTGCAAACCATTCACAAGTGCATTTTGAACTTCCTCTCCACCGCCAATAAACCCCGAAAGCTGCCCAGCAAGCAGACCAAGAGAGATACGGCGGGCATCAATATCCCCCAAGGCTTTCCCCCTGGCATCCTCAGTAAGGTAATGGACATCATTGTAATGGTTATTATAGTTGGATTAAAGGTGGATTAAGGGGTAGTTAAAAGAAGTAAAGGGGGATGAAATGGCACATTTTGAGGGCGATTTGGGGGAGTTTGGAGAAAGGCGATTTTAGGTGACGGAGGCAGCGAGGGGGTGAGGGAGGAGGCGACAAAGCATGGAAATGAACAAACAGATGACCCAATGGGAAGATGGTTGAGGAGGATACGATCGAAATCAACGGAATTTTGAAAATTGGCCTTAAAGAGGACCGACCTGATGAGGATGATGAAGGTACGAACTGTGCCAGGCCAATGTGATGCGAGAGCGGGCGAAGTGAGCGAGCGGGCGGTCGATGGTGGGGGCGATGGGCGATGCTAATAAGGCGGTCGATGAGTGGGCGGCCGATGGGCGCATGAGCGGTCGAGTGGGCGGTCGAAGTGAGCGTAGAGCGAAGTCGATGATGGTCGATGCGTACCGATACCGATGAGCGGTTGATGGGGCGAGTAGTCGATGTAATGATGGTCGATGAGTGAGTGGGCGGTAGAGTGGGCGGTTGAGTGGTTGATGAGTGGGCGGGTGGTCGATGGTCGATGAGCGGGCGGTATTGAGTGGTGATAGTGGTGAGTGGTTGAGGTGGTTGAGTGAGTGGTGAGTGGTTGATGGTTGAGTGGGGAGTATGTGAGTGGTTGAGTGAGGGTGAGTGGGTGATACACAGATCACACGTGAAGCACGATTATGGTGAGAAGTACTGACGTTGGCGAGTGCCTTGACGCGTGCGGCGGCGGGAGAGGGACTGCGCGGCGATGCGGTGGCTTGAGGGTAATCGCAGGAGCGTATCCTCAGGACGTCGAGGCGGACGACGGCGATGTGCAGGTACAGGAGCGAGAGCGACCAGAGGGTGAGGAGGGTGTAAGAGAATTTCTCCTTATTGCCCATATAAAATCATCGATTTCTTTGATGAGTTGAATGAGAACGGATTCCTTGTCAAGAATCTTCAATGCTTCGCAGAAATCTCTGCACGTGCGCCTCGTTTTTATGTCTGCTGTACCCCTGAGTTTGTGTGAGCTCTCAAACGTAAAACCGTATGCATAGAGTGTCGGATGTGTTTTTTGACACTTCACAATAGAGTGGCATTCGGATTTATGCACCGCTGTTGAGGGCTGATTGGGCACTGCTTTTCAGCACTGGATTTTTGAGCATCATACACCAATTTCACGGCACATGTCTCAGTACAGCATTTATCATAGCATCGGCTGCCTGGCTTGTTGCAGTTATTGCAGCAATCGTCGTATAATTTTTTGAGTAAGCCATAAAACGTTGCTGTGATATAAACAAACCATGACACATAGGAATCGGCGTGATTTTCTGAATGCATGGAACGGGTGTTCAATGTAATGGGCTGCAAGTATGATCCGCAAGGAGGCACTGGGGAAGATGTCTTATCATTGCAGCCAACAAGGCTAAACAGATCACCTTTGGGATGATTGCTATCACTGTGAGTACCGGAGTGTTGTATGGAAGTGATGACCAACTTATTGTATTGCTCACCGAAATACGCCTTCTCGACGGCTTTGTTAAATGCACTAATTCTGTGTTTCATACCCTCTCTACTATATGTTTGCAGGAATCTATGGTAAAATGCAAACATATCACCGAGAGTCTGCGGTGCATTGCGTAGCAGGCAGGTAAACATGGCACACAGCCTTGTGAGGGGAGATTTGTCATGGCCGCAGAGATCATTAAGCGCCAGCTTAAGATAAGCGCCATCCCTCGTGTGCGACGCCACTGTGGCTATGTCTGTAAAGCCCATGGGAGTGAGACATGGAATACCAAAGTGGTTAGTTAACGTACATGTCAGTTTGCAACCAGGAGAGGTAATTGAATGAGGAAGGAACCCGGGAGACCATCTTCCAGGAAGGATTGAAGTGGCGATTTTACGCCGCAGTTTGGATGTTGGTCACCCGTTTCACACTTTTGGTTACATGGTTGGCTGCCTATTTGGTTGGGACATTGGTTACTGTTGCAGTTCCAGTTCGAACCCCCAATGCCGCGACCGTAGTAGCAATCGGACCAACCACTACTGTCAGGACCGTTGTGACACTGTTTGTATACGAAGCATAATTGATGATACAGCCTATTCAGTATATCTACTAGCACATCAAAGCACGCACCACCAGTACTAGGATACAATAATTTATCTGTGTTTGTATTGAACTCGCAGGCATAACGGCCGTCGGAATGTCCGTGACCCATTATGGCTTTAAGTGTGCTTCTGGATTTCGAGCAAACTGTGCCAAGTGCATCGGTCAGCTCGTCATACTTAATTTCGGTGGTTGCTCGGAAGGTTAATTTATCGGTGGGAATTAGTGAATAATCTGGATGCTTTTGTATGCATCAGGCTTCGGGAACAATGTCCTAATGTGGTTCTTAACTCCATCGTACACGTGATTGTACTTCAGTCCGGTGACCCATTGGAGCATCTCGTATACTGTTGTTGGTGGCCGTGTTTTCTGAGGGATGTAGTGAGACACCTTGTAGTAGCTAACAACCTGTTCGATAAGGAAGTCAACGATGTCGATGAGGTTAATAGTGATATGACTGCCGTCGCCTTGAATACTACCAGTAGCCACAGGAATAATGCCTGCAAGCTTTTTAGCTAAAGCCTGCTCTGCAGCTTTTTTATCTCTTCTTTCTTCCACTCTTTGAGAAGACCAATTTGGGAAGCGTTAGTGATTGAATTCTCGAGTAACGTCTTAATCATTGTTCCCGTCATTTTTCCTTGTCCTGCAGTTCACCATTGTGTTTGCCCTGTTCGGATACTCCGAAGCCGATCGATTTAAGGAATTTTCCTAGGCCGTTCGATAAGTTAATTTGTGCGTTTTTATTTTTATCACTCTTACACCCATTCTGTAACCTATTCAGCTGATAGCGCACCGTCTCCATAATAGTAACCAGAATTTTTGCGCATTTCTCCTTTTCGGGATTTTTCTCGTCTGCCCAGTCTATTTTGGCATCGTCATACACCGACACGTACGCCTTTTTGAGTTCAGCGTGCATCCCTGTCAGGCCTGTTTTTAGAACGTCGAGCAGCGTGTTGCACGGGCCCTCGAAATTTGTCGGAACTAAACTATGAAGTGCACTGCTAAGATTACCAAGATTAAAGGTGAGACTGTGAGTGAAGTGATTGGAGTTGTGAAGTTCGTCGAGGAGAGTGTTTAGTTTGGATTGCACGGCGTCAAGTGCGTCGGCGTAAGGATGTTTATCGGTGTCTTTGATAATTACGGGAGGATTCTTCTTTGCGTTGATGTCTTTATAAAGTCTCTTGATCTCCGTGTCCAAATACCTTTTAGTGGCCCGACGAATTCCTTGAATTTTGTAGAGCGTTTTGAAGAGTTGTGCTTTCTGCTCAGCTGTGTCAGTGGACTCACTTGCAAGACTGCTGAGCAAATTAATATGTACACTCGAAGTCTCGTTATTTGAAATGACACCTTGCATAGTTCTCATAAAACCCTTGAAGCCCTCCTTGCGGTCGGTGTCGATGGCTGTTGGCAGAGGCTTCAATTCCTTTTGCACCCTATCGGCGAATGCATTCAGCATCTCTTTGATAGATGTCACGTAATTTTTGTTAGCCTGCGCGGTGAGTTTTTCGATGGCTTCTTTTACTTCGGAGTCCACGTGGGATTCAAGTGATTGGATGCATTGTTGTTGGTATTTGGAAACTTCACTTTTAAGGAGATTGTCGGTGTTTTGGATGGCTGTATTCAATTCATTGTTCAGTAGTTTTTCAAGATTTTCATGTATTTTTTGAAGTGTGTTATCCGTAGCAGATTTACCGTGTTCCTTTTTACCGATCTTACTCTTAAGCTCAGTCAATTTGGCGTTGATTTTTTGGCCGACCTGTGATACGGTATCAGTGAGAGATTTCAGATTGGAGGTAATGGCTTCGGACAATGTTGCGAATTCCTTCTTATTTTTAGTAGCGGCATTCACAGCTTGGAAGTCCGTCTCCACCTGCGTCCTGATCCCCTTGATCTTCTCTGGAAGGGCGCCTTCAAGGTTGTTGACGTCGGAGTCAGCAGCGGTAAGGCTGTCTTGTTTGACTTGCTTTTTGTAACGCTGGAAGACACTGGGATCGGTGTCCTTAAGGTTGACTTTATCACCGCCATCTTTCAACTGCGCGTCGAGCGTGACGGTCACCTGCGTGATGGCGTTGTCGACGGCTTGGGCTGGACTGTCTGAGGATTCTTGTGTTGCCTGATGAAGCTTACTGCTCAGGCCGTCAACGTTATTTTTAACGGCGTCCAATTGAGCGTGGACGCTGTTATTGTCACCGGGTGTCTTGCCGACGTTAGTTGTCAATTTTGAAAGTTGCTCTTTAACATCTGCTTCGAATTTGTTGAGGAGAGTCTCGAGCGTGGGCGCGGGGGTGGTGGAATGGGAGTAAGGGCCGTAACCAGTACGCAAAGGCTGTGGTTTCCAAGGCTGCCACCCGTAGCTGTGACCACCAAGTTGGTCGGGGTTTTGGGCCTGGATTTGGATGCCCAGTTGGGTACATATTGATTGAGCTTGTGAGACGGCGTTTTGTATATCACTTTGGGCAGATCGTTGTAACAACGAAGGTAATGTACTTGAACCATTGTGGTTCGCAATTTGACTTAAAACATTTTGTAGTCGAGTTTTGGGATCTCCAGAATTCCTCATTCTACGATTGTCAATTTTTACGCCGGCATTATGACACAGCTGGGTCAGCTTTTCGAGGCAAAGTTGGACATTCAGTATAAGAGACCT